CGGATGGATGGATGGATGGATGCAACGCTGGGGGGCGATGAGTCTCAGTGCCTTTGCTTGAATGATGATGATGGTGACGATGATGACGATGATGATGATGGTGATGCTGAGGATGATGATGCGTTGCTGCTCATGATGATGCTGCTGACGATGATGATGCTGATGCGGATGCTGATGCTGATGCTGATGATGCTGATGATGCTGATGATGATACTGATGATGCTGATGATGATGATGCCGATGATGATGATGATGGTGGTGGTGATGCTGATGAAGTTGATGACGCTGTGCTGACGATGATGATTGCGATGGCAATGACGATGACGATGGTGGTGATGATGGTGATGATGGTGATGATGGTGGTGGTAATGAGGAAGAGGAGGAGGAGGACCAGTGAGAGCCCAAGACGCATCAGCGATGTTGCAATACACACTCTCTCCAAGTGTTCTCTTCCTATGTCCATGCGGGTCGAATATTTTCAATCGTGTCAGAACACGAGTCCCGGGACTTAAACACCGCGACTCAATGTTATCGCGGCGTTTTGACGATCCTCAATCGTTCCTGAACGCCATTCCTGGGACTTCAGCACCGCGAATCAACGTAACTGTTGCGCCCTGACAGTAATACACCCTGCCAAAACACCACTTCTGGAACGTTCGCCAGGAAAATCCTTGAAACTGTTGTAAAATCCACTACGGTGCTCGGCGCTAAGGCGAGAGCCACATTTCGAAAAGGTACCGCTCTCGATTCGTGAACCTCTTGCAAACTTTAAGACGCATGTATGCGGCGCTCAGGCGAGCGCTACATTTGCAAAACGGCCTGCCTCCTCCTTGAAGCTCTTGCAAACTTGAAAGACGAGTGTGCGCAGCGCTACGGCGAGAGCCACATTTTGAAAACGACCCTCCCTCATTCTTTGTACTGTTGCGAACTTGTAATCAGACGACTGTTCGCGACGCTGAGGCGAACACCACATTTTGAAAACGACCCACCCTCCATCCGTGAATTTCCTGCAAACTTCTAAGACGAATGTGCGCGGCTTTGAGGCGGGAGCCACATTTTGAAAACCACCCGCCCTCAATCTGTGAAGCTGTTGCAAATTGTAGGCGTAAGGATGATACATTGTGAGGAGGAGGAGGAGGAGGAGGAGGAGGAGGAGTAGGAGGAGGAGGAGGAGGAGGAGGAGGAGGAGAGGGAGGAGGGAGGCGGGAGGATCTGGATCTTCTCGCTCACGCCGCCCGCTCGCGCCTCCTCGGTTCCTCCTCGCCCCCCCCCGGATCCCTGGCCACCAGGCCCCCCAATGGGCGATAAATGGGCGAGTCGGGGCCGGCCTCTCCCCTGCGAGATCCATGGCTGGAGCTAAGCGGTGTTTTTTTTGCGACTTCGTGGGCCGTTTTCATTTTGTCATTTAATCGCTTCGCTCATTCCGCTGACCCGTATTGTCTCGCCGCTGTCGTTTGTCTGGGTGTTGTTGTCAATTTTGTGCCGCTGGGCGGCTAGCATTTTATGGAGGCGGGGCGTGGTGAGCGTCGCAGGTGAAGCAGTTGCCCTGGAACTGCTTCCTGTGGGTCCGTCGTTGACCCCGGTGGTGTTGTCTTGGCAGTTGTGGGTGGTCAGGTGGTTTCAGGTGCTTCACTTGGGGCACTTTTGGGGCGTAGGCAAGACGCCTCTTTGTGTGCTTCTTCGGGGTCTCTTGGAAGACCTCGCGGGGTCTCTCCTTCTCGGGCCTCGCGGGGGCCTCTTGAGGGCCTCTTGGGGCCTCTTGGGGGCCTCTTGGGGTCTCCTGGGGCCTCCTGGGGGCCTCTCGGGTCGAAGGGCTCCAAACATTCGTTCGAGAGCCTCGTCTGGGCCCCCTCTTGGAGCCGTCTTGGGGGCCTCTTGGGCCGTCTCGGAGGTCTCTGGGGTCGTCTTGGGGGCCTTCTGGGGCAGTTCTGGGGCCCTCTGGGCCGTCAGGGGGCGTTCTTTGGGGCCTCTCGGGCAGTTCTGGGCGTGATGAACCCCCAATCGTCGTATATGCGAAACGTGTGCGTTTTGCAAAGGGAATGGGACAATTTTGCTTGTCGGGGCCCTCTTGGAGAGCCTCTCGAGGCTCTCTTGGGGCTTCTTGGCGGCCTCCGGGGCCGTATGGGGACCATCTTGGGCGTCTTGAAACGACCTTTCGGCGACCCCGCGCCTTTTGGACCGTGTCGGAAGCGTCCCCGCGCCCTCTTGGCGCGCTTGTGGAGCGCACTGGGCCGGGCATCGGCTGGGCACGGGCTGGGCATAGGCCGGGGTATTTCTTGTCCGGGGACCCCCAGGGGCTGCCCCGCGCGCGTGAAGTAGAAATAATGTTAACCAGTTGCCGGAAATTTTAGCACGCCTCTGGCCCGTTGGGCCGGCGAATTTCGCTTCGCAGCAAAGGCAGGACTGAGACAAGGACACAAGACAACGAAAACACAAAACGAAGACGGGAACCACTGTTCAGCTCGACCCCTGCTGCGAGACCATCCCATCCAGCAGCGTTGCTCCCTGCTCACCGCGCCCCCATCGCCAGCGAGACCGCTCCTCCCCCCGCCCCCGCGCCCCTGCGCCCCCCCCCCTCCCCGCCTGCGCTCCCGCCGCGCCTCCGCTCCCCGCCCCTCCCGCCAGCTGTTTCTGGCGTGGAGCGTACCGTTTGCGGCAGGTCCTCTCGGTGCGAGCGAAATCGGTCCAGTCCAGACGCGCATCAAGAAACCAGGTGCTTTTCATCATTTCCTGTTAAGCGGTGCGTTTCCCAGCTCCGTAGCTTGCCTACAGCTCGAATTAAGTGGAGAATGCCAACATCGCCTCCCAAACAGTTTGCAGAGTGCAAATCGTTCTTTCGTCGGGGTACCCCTGGGTTCTTCGCTCCGCGTGCTGCGCGGTGACTTCCTGCGGCCGTGGAAGGAGCTGCTGCCTTCGGGGTGCTCTGGGGTTCTCCCTGAGGTGCGGCCCTCGCGCAGGCTTTGAGGTCTGGGTTTCATGCGAGGGTTTTTTTTTGCGGCCGCGTCCGCACTGTACGATGCCCAGCAGCAGTTCCTGCTCGTTTTGAACGGGGCTCGTTGTCCGCGCCGCCGCGGACGTTGTCCCTTCGAGACAGAAGGCCGCCTGTCCCAACAGCGGCAACTGTCGGTTTGGGATAACCTTTGTTGTTGGGCATCGTATCCACTTTTTCCGCACCCATTTCGGGCGTCGAGAGTTCTCAGGAGAGGCTAGGTCCATACGGAGTGAGTCTATACGGAGTGAGTCCATACGGAGTGTAGGTCTCCGTATGGACTTACTCCGACTGGATTGGCCTCTCCTGGTAGGACCTGGTAGGATGCAAAGTCCATACGGAGTGAGTTCGCACGGAGTGCTCGGTCATCGTATGGACTTGCTCCGTCTGAACCTGAGCCTCTCCTGGTAGGATGCTAAGTCCATACGGAGTAAGTCCGCACGGAGTGCTCGGTTTCTGTCTAGACTTACTCCGTCTGGGCTTAGTCAGCCTGTTCTGACGGTCGTGTCGTGTCGACGTGGGGCGTTCGAGAAAGGTCGGCCATGCGCAGGGGGGGGCTATGGGAGAGGGGAGAGGGCTTCTCAGAAGCGCCCCTGCTTCTCGGAAGGGCGGGCCATGTTTGTATACGCAGGGCCAGTGCCTTCTGAGAAGCGGCGTCCTTCACATTCCTTCTCCCTGCCCCCTGCCCCGTGCAGTCTTCCCATTTCTAAGGCGCGTCGTGAATATCTTGATCGGACAGGTCGCGACCTGTTCCCCGAAGTGTAACTGAGCCTCGAGCAGGGTCTCGAGCAGAGAGCTCAATTTTCTTGACGCGAAGGCTGCACTCCCTGTAATCCCTGCCCCCTGCCCCCTGGTGCGTGCCGCCAGGATTTGCACGAGCCGGCCCCTGCCTCGGCGGAGGGCGGCGGAAGGCCCGCGGAGGGCGGAGGGAAGTACAGCGAGGCCGCCCACGCCGGGGGAGGGCGGCGGAAGGCCGGCGGAATCGACTGCACGTAAGAGTGGCCCTTCGCCGGAGTGACCTTCGGTGCGGGCTCCTCGGGCTCCCCCCGATCGCTGAGCGTGATGCGTTATGGGCGGCCCGCGCCCTGGGTTTGGCTCCCTCGCGCCCCCAAAAGCTGCGCACCAAAGGTCATTCTTCCCCAGGGTCACTCTTTAGGTCTAGCCAGCGGAAGCAAAAGTTGGCCTCCCGAGAGGTGGCACGGTTTGCTGGTCCAGGGTTTTCTGAACCCGCCACGTGGCGGCGACTCCAGCGTGGGCGTTCAAGGTTTGGTTTCGCCGTGGGCCCCGAATCGAAGGAGTTCGGACGGTCTGCGCCATCGGGGAGCCGCGATCGTTGAAGGTTTAACGATTTTCGCGGTGTGAGGAACCATCGCCGAGGTCGTCACGGCACGAACCTGCCGTAAGTTGTACAGCTGTTGTGTTCCGATGGCCAAATAAGGGCGGTGCAACAGAAACCGACTTAGTCGCAGAAGCCAACAAATAAGGCAGAACGCTAGTGCGGAAGATGACGTGCAAAGAGTGCAGGACAAGTATAGGGTCCGCTGGGTCATGAAGTAACCAAGCAGACTTCCAGTGGTGTGGGGGAAGAGGAATATAACCATAGCATATCAGTGCACTGACACGAGGAGGAGCCACGGAACGGGGAGGAACCGAAACTCGCGCGCAGGCGGCAGCATTAAAGTAGTGCCTGAAGTCGTGTGCTGACACTTTGGCTCCTCCTTCTCTTATTCCTCTTCTTCCTCCTCCTCCTTTTCATCCCTCCTCCTCCCTCCTCCTCCTCCTCCTCCTCCTCCTCCTCCTCCTCCTCCCTCCTCCTTTCTCCTCTCCTCCTCCTCCTCCTCCTCCTCCTCCTCCTCCCCCCCCCTCCTCCCCTCCCCCCTCCTCCTTAATGCCTCCTCCCCCTCCCTTCCCCTCCTCCTCATGTCTAACGCAGCCTCCCCCTCCTCCCCTCCCTCTGCACGCGCCGCTGCGCCCCGCTCTGCTGCGCCGCGCCCGCCGACGCCCCCCCCAGCGATGGTGGAGTACAAGCGCATCGTCGAAGAGTTTCGTTTGGAGTACGACAAGGTCGCGGACATCCGAGGTGCGGCTTGTTGCGCTGTCGCCGCCGGCGCCGCCGCCGTCGTCGCCGTCGCCGCCGCCGCTGCGGCCGCCGTCGCCGTCGTCGTTGTCGTCGTCGTCGTCGCCGTCGCCGCCGCCGCCGCCGCCGTCGTCGTCGTCGTCGTCGTCGTCGTCGTCGTCGCCGTCGCCGTCGTCGTCGTCGTCGCCGCCGCCGCCGCTGCCGCCGCCGTCGCCGTCGTCGTCGTCGTCGTTGTCGTCGCTGTCGCCGCCGCCGCCGACGCTGCCCCTGGGGATGCGCGGCGCCGAGGGCGCGGCGCAGGGGGGGGGCGCGCGACGCCGAGGGGGGGGGCGGCGGCGGCGGCGGCGCAGCCGCAGGGCGGCCGCGGGGCCGCTGCGCGCTCGGGGGGGGGGCGCGGAGAGGGCGGGGACGACGGCCGACGGCAGCTCTCCGTCCGCTTGCCGGCTAGACGTGCCCTGAGATCCTGGCGTGGCAGTTTTTCCGCACCGGGCGTTTGCGCTCCAGTTCGGGCCCCGGGACCCTCACAGATCGATCCGACTCGAAAGATGAGGCAGAATGATGGGGTCCGGGGCTCCCGTGGTGATCTTTTGCGACGTTGCACTTGTTTGCAGCGTCGGATCTCAGGGTAAGAGTGACCTTTTGCCGGAGTGACCTTGCCCCCGATCGCCGAACGCGAAGCTGCAGCAGAATCTTGCGCGCCCAGATTTTGCCACCCCGCGTCCCCTGTGAAGCCGCGCACCAAAGGTCACTCTTGCCCAGGGTCACTCTTGCGTGTAGCCGACTCTGAACAGAAGAAAAGCAGAGATTTTTTCGCAGTGTTCGGCCTCAGGGGGCCCTCGCAGGGCCCCGGGCCATCAAACAGCTAATCGGGATGATAAACGGGAAGGGCGAGGACGAAGGCCGACAGCAGCTCTCCGTCCGTTTGGACCTTGGATCTAGGCCTCCCAGATGGGGTCCGAGTAGATGGGGTCGGAGGATTGCGCCGCATCGCCAGTGCATCGGCGATGCGGCTCGATGTGGAATCCGATCTTCTCCACGCCGACGTCGCCGATGCATCGCCGATGCATCGCCGACGTCGCCAATGCATCGCCGATGTATCGGCGATGCATCGCTGATTCGGCGCGATCCTCCGACCACATCTATTTCGACCCCATCTGGGAGGCCTCTATTTGAACAGAATCGTATGGGGACCCTCGTCGGGCCCCGGGACCGTGCAAAAACGGATCGGGATGAGAAGCTGGTCCCCAGGAGCCCCACCAGCCCTTTAAGGGCGTGAGTGCTTCAGTGCTTCAGCGAGTTTCTTCTTCCAACCCCCCTTCTTCTCCTTCGGGGACGGGCTTATCATTGCATCACTGTTCCCTATCAAACGAACCCTCCCCCAGGCGACCGGTAGCCAACCAGGACCAATGCCACCACCCATCCCTGTCAAAAAGCAATACGAAGCACACTTTGGGGCAAAGTCTTGGGTCATGGTCGTGGCCCCCGCGAGCACTTTGTATCGTTTTTCGACCAGGACGGCGGGTGTGCCTTCATACTGCCTGCTTTGCTCACGGCCGCCATCCCTGTCAAAACAAAAGATATGCGCTTCGTGGCATCTTGATCAGACGCGGCCACCCCGCGATCATTGTCCATTCGTGTTTGAGAAGGACCGCGGGGGTGCTGGCCTGTTGCCTGCTGCGTGCAGGCCCACCAGACACCATGATGGCGTCCCCGCCGCGATTCTGCATTAGTTTTCGAGAAGCATGCTGAGGGCCGACATGTTTACCGATTTGTGCAGTCTCGTTCGCGGGCGCACCTGGCACACTTTGCGCGTGCGCCGGACGTGGCGCACCTGGCGCGGCTGGGCCATGCGGCACAGATGGCGCAGGTGGAGCACTTGGCGCATCTCGAGCTCGAGGCGTGCCTGGCACGCTTGGGCCCCAGGGGTGCCTGGCGCACCTGGAGCGCCTGGCACGCATGGCGCACCTCGCCCCATCGCGCACATGGTGTCTGTGTTGGTTCCCAGTGGCTGCCCATTCATAGACGATCGCTGAACATGCTGAGGCCCGGGTGCTAATTATGTGTTGGGAGGGCGGGTGGGAGTGAGCGAGACAACTTGCGGGCGGGGAGGGTCTCTTGACCCCTCCCCCTCCCCTTTCCCCCTGGGTCTGGACGGGGGGGTCGATCGATTCGAGCGTCCAAGATCGATGGCGAGCCCAGGGGGGAGGTGAGAAGGGGCAGACCTTCTCGGAGGGCTCGGAAATTCCCCGGCCTTTGGGAAGCTTTCTAAGCCTTCCCCGAAGACGCAGAACACCCTTCAGAGGGCCAGAGGCCTTCTAAGACGCTCCGCCGCCTTTTGAGAAGGCCTTCTCCTCATTTCCCCGCCCCCTCGCTCGCCGCCGACGAGAAGGCCTCGACGAGAAGGGGGAAAGGGCCAGGACTTCAAGACGTCGGATGTCTGGAGAGCAGGGCTGCTCGCTGCCGGTGCCGCCGCGGACATTTCCCACTCAAGACAGCAGGGAATCTCGCCAGCCCAGCAGCGGCCGGCCGCCGTCGGTGCTGGACGGCCTTTGCTGTCGGGCATCGTGGGATTTTGGTTCCGTACCCGTTTCGGGCGTGCCAGGTCCTTTTTCTTTCTTCCGCCTGGACGCTGCTGCTCCTGCTCCTGCTGCGCCTCCTGCTCCTCCTGCTCCTGCTGCTCCTCATCACCTCCCGTCCTGATCCTCCTCTTCCGCCTCCCCCTGCGCCTCCTTTTCCTCATCCTTCTCCTCCTCTCCTCCTCCTCCTCCTCCTCCTCCCCTCCTCGCCTCTTTTTCCTCCTCCTCCCCCTCCCCCTCCCCCTCCCCCTCCTCCTCCTCCTCCTCCTCCTCCTCCTCCTCCTCCTCCTCCTCCTCCTCCTCCTCCTCCTCTTCCTCCTCCTCCTGTGTGTGCACGCCCGCTTTCCGATTCTGCAGCAAGCGGAGAGGGAGTGCTGGTGCAGTGGGAGTGCCGGCGGCGCGCGGAAGGGGGGGGGCGCGAGAGAGGGCGGCCTCCCAAGCAGGCGCGCTGCTTCTCATAAGCCCTCTCCGAAGCCCCTGGGCCCTTCTCAGAATGTGCAGCCCTGCCTTTCAGGACGCCCCGCGCCTTCTTGGGAGGCCTCCCCCTCCCGTGCCACCCCCTCCCGCGCGCCGCCAAGAACTGATCGGTGGGAGGGGCGGGGTATCAGACGTGGCGCGAGCGCACTCAGCCCCTTCGCCCTCTGCGCTCGCCCCTGCCCTCCGTGCACCGCTTTGCCCTTCTGCCCCCCGCCCTCTGCTCGCGGTCCTCTGTTCTTGCCCACTGCTCCTTCCGATTTTCCGTTGTTCCCTCGCCGTCGCCCTGTCTGCCCGCTTCTCTCTCTCTCGCTCTATCTTCTCTCTCGCCCTCTCTCTTTCTTTCTCTTTCTCTCTCGCTCTCTCTTTCTCTCTCCCTCTCTCCCTCGCTCTCTCTTTCTCTCTCCCTCTCTCTTTCTCTCTCCCTCTCTCTCTTTCATTCTTTATTTCTTTCTCTCTCTCTCTCTTTTTCCTCTCTCTCTCTCTCAATTTTTTGCTCACTCTCGCTCTCTCTCTCTCTCTTTCTCTCTTTCTTTCTCTTTCTCTCTCTCTATATGTATAGTTATCTCCATCTCCCTCTCTCTTTTTCTCTTTCTCTCTCTCTCTCTCTCTCCGTATATCTGCGTATAAGTATATAAACCTATACATGGGGCGTTCCAGAAAGTGCCTCCTCGCCTTCGGGGAATCAAGAACCTGTTTGGTCGGGAACGCTAAGAGACGTTGCACCCAACTCGCGCCATGAAGTTCTGTGTGTCTTCGGGGCGTGGAGGAGGGACTGTTGCAGCGAGTACGATGTCCTTGGGGCCTGGAGGTGAAGGATTGCCGTCGTCACGGGTGGACTGTTCCAGGCTGCAGGATGGCATGCAGCCGCTCGACCTCTTGCTGCAGCACGGCTGTTTGGCTATGCAGTCTTCCAGCAAGGCGCAGCCAAACGCCGCGAGCGCTGCTCCTTGCCCAGGCACGTGCGACCACTAGGACGTCCGTGTTCGGCCTTGCTCGCGAGGCGGGAATTTATCCATTTCCACCGCCTGAGAAACGACGTCCTGGGGACCCAGCGGGCGGTGGATGTGGATCTACATATATATATATGTATATATATATAGATGGTATATATTTATTTATATATATATATATATCTATTTATGTATATATTTATATAGGTATATACATGTAGATGTATATCTGTATATCTATGTTTCCCCCCCCGCCCCCCCCCAGGGGCCCGAGCATATCCATATCCGCCGCCTGTGGAGGTCCGAGAAAATGGATCTCCACGCGGTGGTTTGTATAAATCCCCGCCTCGAGTTCCTCGCGTGCTCCCGGACGCGGGTCCGCGCCGACTCCCCCGGGGGGCCGAGCGCCAGCTCGCCGTCCCTCCGGCCGCTACCCTCCGCCGCCCGGCTCCCGCTCCCCTCCTCCTCCCCCTCCTCCCCCTCCTCGCCCTCCTCGCCCTCCTCGCCCTCCTCGCCCTCCTCGCCCCCCCCCCTTGTCCGCCTTTCTGTGCTCTCTGCCCTCCTCGGCTGGGGCTCGACGGGCCCGGGGGCGGCCCCGGGAGGGGGCGGCGCATCTCGCCGTGCCGTCCGCGTGGCCCCTCTCCAGGGACGATCGACATGGGTACGGGAAACACGGGTGCAGAGACCGACGACCTTTCCTGCTCGCTTTGAACAGCCTTCTGGTAGTGAGTGTTGAGCCGCCCAAGCGCCCCGTCGGAGCAGTTGTCGCGCTGTTCCGCGGGCAGGAAAGGTCCTGGTTCCGCGGCGGGGATTTATACACGACCACCGCCTGGAGCATCGATTTTCGGAGACCTCGGCGGGCGGTGGGTATGGACATATTTTGCCCCCCGGGGTTCAACTATATCCAGGTCCACCGCCCGCTGGGTTCCCAGGGCGGCGGTTCCTAGGCGGTGGATATGGGTAAGAGGAGAAGGAGGAGGAGGAGGAGGAGGAGGAGGAGGAGGAGGAGGAGGAGGAGGAGGAGGAGGAGGATCAGTACGGCGGACCAAACCAGAAAATCGCGGCTAGTGCATGTGGCAGCACAGCGGCCGTCTGTGTGCCCGGCCGGCCGGCTTTTTGGCCTTGGAGCGCCTGGGCAGTGCTCCCCTTGAAGCAGGACTCGCTGTCGGTGTCGCCGCGGACGTTGTCCGCTTGAGGCAGAAGGCATAACGCCGCCTGCCCAACAGCCGCAGCTGTCGGCTTTGGGACAACATCTGCTGCTGGGCATCGTACCCATTTCGGGCGTCCGAGCTCCCCAGACCATCCCCATGAGATCGGACGTTGCAAAGACATGCAACATCGCAACAAAATCACGACCGGAGCCCCGGACCCCGTCTTTCTGCGTCATCTTTCGAACCGGATCGATTTGTGAGGGCCCCGGGGCCCGAAGCTGGGCGACAACGCCCGCTGTGAAAAAAATGCTACACCAAGATTTAAGTCGGGCCTGTCCCTCTACAGGAGTAATATTCAAAAATAGTCAAAAAATAGTCTGGGGACTATTTTTTTGAGTATTTTCGACCATTTTGGAGTATTTTTTGGGTATTTTTCATTTTTCGTCGAAAATCCCCCTGTAGGGGGACACGCCCGACTCAAACCAAGATCTCAGGTCTGAGCGTCGGAACTCCCGAGGCACCCCGCGCCACGGCAGGGGGGGGGTGCTCCGGGCCGCTCTCCCCGCCCCCCCAGTGCGCGTGGACGTCCCCGGCCTGCGGGAGAACTCGTACTGGGCCGCGGAGCGCCTGATCCGGGCCCTGGGCGAGTTCCTCGGCATCGCGGCCGGGCCCGGGGCGGACCCATCCGAGGCGCGGATTTATCCATGACCACCGCCTGGGAGATCGATCCTCGCGGACCTCCACAGGCGGTGGGTATGGATATGTATTCGGGCCCCTGGTGGCCAAGATATGTCCATATGTCTACGGCTTGCTGGGGCAATAGGACGTCGGTTCCCAGGCGGTGGATATGGATAAATTCTCGCCTCGCAATCCAGATCTCTCAGGGCTCCAGAGACGGGGGTCAATGCAAACGGGGTCAGTGAGAGCGCCAGATCTTGCAGGATCCTGCAGGGCCAGGGGTGCTCTGACCCAGGCTAGGGTGCAGGATCCTGCAGGATCTTGCAGGATCGGGCAAAATCTGACTGACCCAGGCCTCGATTGACCCCCAGACCCTGGTCGCGTTGCGGAAAACATCACGACGGCCAGGCGCCGGGTCCGTCAACAACAGCTCAGGGTACAAGGCCAGCCGACCCCGGGGAATGGCTCGAGACCCCCTGGGGCCCACGTTGCCGCAGGTCGTCGGTACGACCGACATGGGCGCTTGCAGGATGTGATTCGGCTAGGCCTAAGAGTGACCTTTCGCCGGAGTGACCTGGTGCGGGGCCCCGCCGAGCGCGAAGCGGTGGCAGCGGCTTGCGCGCCCAGGTTTGGCCACCCCGCGTCCCCCGTTGAGCCGCGCACCAAAGGTCATTTTTGCCCAGTCGGGGTTGCTTAATGAGCGTGGGGGGCTACTACCCCCCCCGATGGGGGTCAGCCTCGCCTCATCGTCGCGCCGCGACGGGGGTCGGAGCGCCTCCGGCGCGCGGTGGCTGCCCGCGACGGGGGTCGATGTGGGGCTGTCGGCGGGGGTGACGCCCCCCCGACGCTGAGCAAGAAACTCGGAGTAGGGTCACTCCTGCGTGTGGCCGAGCGGTGTCTGCAGTCCCGGCGTTGCTCCCCGATCCCGGCCCGCGGGGCCCGCGGCGCGGCCCCCGCGGGCCATCGGTGATGGGTCCGGGGCGAAAGGCGGCCCCCCCGGGGGGAGGGGTCGGGGCTTCTGCCTGGGGCCGCGCCTCGAAGACGTCTCATCGTCGGACGTCTGTCGGGAGGGGGGAGGGACATACAGACTGACACAGATCGTCGTCGGTTCCCAGGAAGATGTGCGAGATGTGGGCAGTGGAGGGGAAGGCGAACCTCCAGAGGGTGTGGAACGTATGGGTAATCCTGGAGTTTGTATCTTTTTGCTTGCGTGTCCCTGGGCCCCCTTCAGTCTGGGGTGGGCACGGCCGAGCGGTGGCCGTGCAGAGGCGCCCGCGGGTGCGAGGAGGAGCAGCGGGCAGGGGCGGAGGGAGAGGCCTGGCGTCGCCGGTGCGTCGTGGATGCGGCGCGGGCATCCGACCCCATCCGCTCCCGACCTGGGTGGCTTCAGTGGGAGGAGCCTGCGAGAGGGCAAGCATCTGCTCGCCCAAGCAGCGCGCCTGAGCAAGAAGCCGGGCTCTCGGAGGTCTGGGCTTCTGATGGATCTGGAAAGCATATGTAGCCAGTGAAGAGATAGTGCCTGAAGGCGATCGTGCGGCTCGATGTGGAGCCCGAGTTTCTCCACTCCGACGTCGCCGATGCATCACTGACGTCGCCGGTGCATCGTCGAGGCATCGCCCCTCTGCTCAGACCCCATTCAGGAAGCCTCTTCTTCATTGGGAGGCGCAAGCGAGAGTGATGGAAACCTGATCAGATGGAGGTGGAGGGAGCGGAGAGAGCGGACGGGAGAGGAGGTCATAGCACTCGGATCAGCCGTTCTATCTCTGTGTTTTACGAGCAGACATCGTGGCGAGCTGCGAGGGGCGGGGAGGACGGGAAGGGAGGACAGAGAGCCGGGGGGTCGTGGGAGGGAGGCGGGGGAAGACGGGAAGGGGGAGGAAAGGGGGGGGGGCAGGAAGGCTCCGAGGAGAGTGTGGGCGGGGAGGGCGGATACAGAGGGAGGGAAAGAGAGCAGGGGGTCGTGGGAGGGAGGGGGCCCACGAGAGGGGGCGCGAGGGGGGCCCACGAGACCGGGCCACGAGAAGGGCCACGGAGGGGAACTACGAGGGAGGTCGCCACGGGGGGCCGCGATGGGGGGCATCGTGGGGATCACCACCGCCAACACCAGCAGCAGCTTTCACTCACCACCCACAGGGGCGGCCTCCTCAGGGAAGAGGGGGAGGAGGAGGAGGAGGAGGAGGAGGAGGAGGAGGAGGAGGAGGAGGAGGAGGAGGAGGAGGAGGAGGAGGAGGAGGAGGAGGAGGAGAGCGCAAAAGATCAGGATGTTCGCCTGGTTCGGTCTGTCTCGTCTTCAACTCGAAGCCAGTTTGGTTCGGTTCGGTTCGTGTTTAACACGACCAGGTCGGGCAGGTCGGGTCGGTTCGCGCAGGTCGGGTCGGTTCGGTTCGATTCGGCGGCTTTGGTTCTGGAACCATCTTGTCCGTGCATCCGAATGAGTGATTCGCGGACCACCCGTTCGCCTCTTTGCCTGGTTGTCGGTGCGTGTCTTCGTGCGCGCATCGCCGTGCTTCGCCTTAAACGGCTGTGTGGATTGAACCCCCAGGTTCACGCTAGTGTGTATGTTGGCTTCTTTGTGTGCATGTATGTAGGGTTGCTATGTATTGTTTTGGTTGAGCCCGCAGAGCGGGAGTCACGGCGGGCCCACAGGGGAAATTCCCATGCCGATCTTGCAATGAGTGCGTGGTCGGGAAATGTTTTCGACGAGGATTGGGACCGCACGTTGCAGTTTGTGTCAGGGCCATCTCGCCGTCCCCTGGGGGAGGGGAGGCGGTTCGGAGCTGGCAGAGGGCCTTTGGGGGTCCGCGCGGCGCAAGTTTTTGAGGGGTGTACCGAGCCGAAGCTCCCTCCCTTGAACCGTCTGAGTGGTCAGCTGACAGCCCCAGTGCGCGAGGGGCGTGCCGAATTGAGGCTTCCTTCAGCAGCGTTGAGGGCCGGCGGGCCGCCCATGGAGGTACACGGGGCACGAGGTGCGTGAGGCGGGTGCAGAATAGAGGCTCCTGGGACAATTCCTACGCGAATCCCCTCGTGCTCCGCGTGTCTCAGAGGCCTGGTAGGCGCAGGAACTGCGTGAGGTATGCACCGAGTTGAGGTCTGCGTTGGCCAGGGGAGCGCGGATCATGTGTCTCTTTTGTCGTGCCGCAAAGAGAACTAAGGTGCGGATGCCCGGCGGGTTCCGTGTGTCTCAGAGGCTTGGTTAGCGCCACTGACCACGACGACGACGACAACGACGACGAACCACTCCACACCCACAGGGGGAGCACCAGCACCTCCACCACGCCAAGCCCACAGGGCCACCACACAGGGGGGGGGAACGATCCCATTCGCGAGGCCTTCGCGAGGCTCACGGGCGCACCCATCCAGCGGGGGGGGCAACCCTGGATCATATATAGATGTATACCCACTGCAGCATCCGCTTCTTATCCCCTATCCACTTGCCAGCTGGCAACCACCGTGGTGATGCAAGCAGAAGTCCCAGCCCTTTCCCCAGGTCGGGTTTATCATCCCGGGTCGTTTTTCGAAGTTCACGGGTCCTGGCGAGGGCCCCCAGAGGCCGAAGACGGCGAAATTTTTTCGTTTCGATGTCTTCAGCGCGTTGGAGGTCTGGGTTATTCTTGTTCTGCGAAGGGGGTCCTTTGGGGAGGAGCAGACGAGCGACGGCTCCGTGGACGACGAGCTCTTCTCCAGGGACCGCCCCCCGCGCCGCCGGTGCCGGGCGGCGTCGCTCGCGCGAGGGGGGTGCGGCCCTCGTGCGCGAGGCCGGCAGCGCTCGCAGCAGGGGTCGGCCCGTCCCCAGAGGCTCGAGGCTCGAGGCTCGAGGGAACGCTGCCATGTGTCAGGGCGCGTGGATCCGTGACGGGTCCCGTTTCCGTACTGGCTTGGCGCGCACCGTCGCCACAGGAGGCGGCACTGGCTTCACGTGTAGGGGGTGCCTCTCCCGGTCCATGGTTATGGCGCCCGCGCGCCAGATCCACGGATCGCCGGTCCGTGTCAGCGTGCGCCCGAGAGGACCTCGAGGTCCGAGGTTTCGGGGCGATTTGTTTGTTTTGGTTGCTCTGTTGTTGTTGTTGTTGTTGTTGTTGTTGTTGATACAGGCAGGGCAGGCCCCCCCGGGGGGGAGATGGGAGAGGGGGGGAAAACATAACACAACACAACGCAACCCTATAGGGGGGTTTGCGTGTGTGTGTGTGTGCGTGTGTGCGTGTGTGCGTGTGTGCGTGTGTGCGTGTGTGCGTGTGTGCGTGTGTGCTCTTCTCCCTCCCGATCCTCCTCTTCGTCCTTCCCGTCATCGTCTTCATTTGTATCATTTGTACCACGACTACTACTACTACTACTACTACTTCTACTACTACTATTACTACTACTACTACTACTACCACTACCACTACTACTACTACTACTACTACTACTACTACTACTACTACTGCTACTGCTACTACTACTACTACTACTACTACTATTACTACAGTAGTACTAGTACTAGTAGTACTAGTATAGTACTAGTACTAGTACTAGTACTAGTACTAGTACTAGTACTAGTACTACTACTACTACTACTACTACTACTACTACTACTACTACTACTACTACAACTACTACTACTACTACTACTACTACTACCACTACGAATACTACCACCACCACTACTACTATTTAGTTTTACGAATACTACCACCACTGCTACGATTTCCACTAGTACTACCACCACTACCACTGCGAACAGTATTGCTACTACACTCCTGGTGTACAACAGCAGCAACCATTAGTATTCTTACTACTAGTACTACTACCACCACGGCTGTTATTATTACTGATACGGCTACGAGTACGACTACGACTACGGCTACTACTACTACTACTACCACTACTACTACTACTACTACTACTACGACTACTACTACTACTACTACTACTACGACTACTACTACTACTACTACTACTACGATCATTATTACTACTACTACTACTACTGATACTACTACTACTACTACTACTACTACTACTAGTGCTACTACTAGTAGTACTACTACTACTACTACCACTACGTATACTACCACCACCACCACCACTACCACTACTACTACTACTACTACTACTACTACTACTACTTCTACTGCTACTAATTTTACCAATGATACCACCGCTGCTACCATTACCACTACTACCACCACCGCTACCACTGCCACTGTTATTACTACAACACTTAGCTTTACAAAAGCAACACATATTATTATTCTTACTACTACCACCACCACCACGGCTACTACTATTACTGCTACGACTACGACTACTACTACTACTGATACTACTACTACTAGTTCCACTACTAATACTACTCCCACTGCCACTAGTCATATTGCGGCGACTACTACTATTACTAATAATATTGATATATTACTACTACTACTGCTACTGCTGCTGCTACGACTACTACTACGATCACTACTACTACTACTACTACCACTGCTGCTGCTGCTGCTACTACTACTACTACTACTACTACTACTACTACTACTACTACTACTGCGAGTGCCACTTGTACTATTAGATCCCCTGGGGATTCCCTAAGGATTTCCTAGGGATTCCTTAGGGCTTCCTTAGGAATTCTTGAGGATTCCCGAGGGATTCTCAAGGATTCCCGAAGGATTCCCTAGGGATTCTTAAGGATTCCCTAAGGACTCCCTAGGGATGGGATTCTTAAGGATTCCCTAGAGATTCCCCGGGATGTTGTGTTGTGTTGTTCGCCCCCCCCCCCCCCCCCCCCGGATTGACCGGGGGGGTATTGCTGGCCTCCTCCACTGAGGTGGAACGGGCGGATCCGCTCCCGCACCCCGGGGGGGCCATGCCGGCCTTCACTTTTTTTTGTTTTTGTTGTTGTTGTTGTTGTTGTTGAAATTATTACTTCTAAAGAATAATTATTGTTGGGGCCCCTGGTGCATGGCCCCCCCGCCGCGCCTAGGCCGCAGCCTCATTTTCATCATTTTCGTGAGGAAGTCTCAGGCAAAACGATGTCATCCAGATCCGGTTGTGTTGTTACGATCGGTTTTCCCTTGCAAAAAATAAGCTAAAGTGGACATTTCTTGTTCTAACATAACCAAACTTCAAGAATCCCTTGCAAAAAATAAGGTAAAGTGACATTCGCGCGCGCAAGACGAAATCCTTCCAAAACCTTAGTGTTCGTAGCGATTTTAACATAAAAACATCAAAAAACCAATGGTTTTTCAAAAAAAAAAAAAAGTGTCAACATTTCATCCCGCGCGCTCTTGCGGATTCGTAGGAAACCCAACACTTTTTAAACATTTCTGTCAAACGGGCTTTTGCGAGCCACTTTTTCGAACTTCTGCAACAACGGTTGCGCACCTGCCAGGGCCATCATCCCTGTCAAATAATACCATGCGGGACACATTCGTTTTTTCTTCGCGCGCGCACGCCGTCGTCGTCGGCCGCGGGGCCCTGAATAGTAGCCACGGTCGTCCGCATGCCACGAAGTGAAGTGTCCGAACGTCATAGGGCGGGAAGCTGGGTGTGGGTGGTGGCGAAGAGTCGTTTGGAAATTTGGTAGAGCTTGAACCGGCCCCCCCACAAAGTGGGGGTATTGCCCGCCTCCTATGAAAACCCTGGCACTGGTGAGAACGGAGTGTCCCCACGTGCTAGTAATTGTTGTTGTTGGTGTTGTTGTTGTTGTTGTTGTTGTTGTTGTTGTTGTTGTTGTTGTTGTTGTTGAAGTTGTTGTTGTTATCAGTGCTTTTATTTTGTTGTTGTTGGTGGTGATGACGATGAGGCTGAGAATGAGGAGGATGATGATGATGCTGATAATGATGATGATGACGAGGAGGATGAGGAACAGGATGAGGAGGAGGAGCAGGAGGAGGAGGAGGAGGATGATGAGGAGGAGGGAGGATGAGGAGCAGGAGCAGGGATAAGGAGTAGGAGGAGGAAAAGGAATAGGAGAAGGAGGAGGAGGAGGAAGAGGAGGAGGAGGAGCAGGAGGAGGAGGAGCAGGAGCAGGAGCAGGAGCAGGAGAAGGAGAAGGAAGAGGAAGGCCGTCATCATATGTGACACCTTTTGGTTTTTTTCTCGAGGAACTGTCGTGGAGCTGGGTTCGGCCGTCTTGGGGATGACAGGGGGCTGTCCTGGGCTCCTGTGTGGCAGACTTGGGTGTCCCTTGGGGCCGCCTTGGAGGCCCCCTTCGGACGTCCTGGGGCCCTCTCGGCCGTAGTGGGGGGTGTCTTGGGGCCGTCGTGGGCCGTCTTGGGCTATGATGGGGTCCTCCTGGGCTGTCTTGGCACCCTCTTGGGGCCCCCTTGGGCCGTCTTGCGGCCATCTTGGGGGACTCTGAGGGCCGTCTAGTGCTGAAGGAAGCCCGAAAACGGGAGGACGCCACATTCTTTCAAAACTCGGAAAGTCCATGCTTCTGGCCTCTTGGGGCCCTGCTGGGAATCACTTGCTCGCCCTCTTTGGCTGGCTTGAGGGCCTCTTGGGCAGTCTTGGGGACATCTTGGGCCATTTTTGGGATCATCTTGGGCCGTCTTGCAGGCAGGCATCATGGGCCGTCTTGGCGGTCTGGGTGGCCTGCCTCGGCCGTCGGTCGTGGAAGTTCGGGGAGCGTGGATCCATTTTTGGTCGTTGTTTACGAGGGATCGTGGTCTCGGGAGCACGGGCCCAAGTTGTTTGACGAGGGGTCGTGGCTTTGGGGGGGGGGGCGACGCTTGCGGCCGAGAGCTGCGACTGGGGGTCGTGGGCCCTTGGAAGACTGCCGACACCCTGCCAGACATCACTTGGCATTCTACCACGCCTTAACGTGCCAAGGAACAAGGGTAAGGAGGAAGGAGAAGGCGAGAGGGAAGGAGGAGGAGGATGAGGAGGAGGAGGAGGAGGAGGAGGAGGATGAGGAGGAGGAGGAGGAGGAGGAGGAGGAGGAGGAGGAGGAGGAGCAGTCATCAGGAGGAGGAGCAGGACGAGCAGGAGGAGGAGGAGGAGGAGGAGGGGGAGGAGGAGGAGGAGGAGGAGGAGGAGGGAGGAGGAGGATGAGGAGGAGGAGGGCAGTCATCAGGAGGAGGAGCAGGACGAGCAGGAGGAGGAGGAGGAGGAGGAGGGGGGGGAGGAGGAGGAGGAGGAGGAGGAGGAGGAGAGCGAGGAGGGACTAGACTGTTGCCGACAGCAATGGAGGGGTCGGCCGTCGAAGCGGCCGCACCGCCTCCGCGGAGGACCTGGAGAAGTTCCTCGAGGGCGCCCGGCTCACCAAGTACTACGATCCCATGAAGAAGTGGTGCGATGAGCACGGCGCGAACGCCATGGACGATCTGGCCGAGGCGTCCACGAGCGGGGTCGCCTTTGCTGCCACGCCTGCTCGGACAAGCGTGGGACGGCCGTGCCGACGGCCAAAGCTCGGCGGGGCCCTCACAGTGGCGGAGGTGGCCGACGCCTCGGCTCGACACGCGAAGATCGAAGCCGACGACAGAACAACGACGTACCACCATTCTTACTCTTGCCTCCCTCCCCCTCTCTCGTCAACAAGTTGTCGACCTTGGGTCCTGGGTCATGTGAGTCAGCGAGCCAGCGTTACGTCCACGCTTACTATCATCAATACTTTCTCATTCCAGGCGCACATCCAGTGTTGCCGCCTGCATTTCGGATGACAAGTGTCCAGCTACATTATCGAAGACGCCTACGGCGAGTCACCGCCGACCCTGCTTTTTGGAATCGCCCATGTGATCGAGGAGGAGGAGGAGGAGGAGGAGGAGGAGGAGGAGGAGGAGGAGGACAGGAGGAGGTGGAGGAGGAGGAGGAGGAGGAGGAGGAGGGAGGGAGGAGGAGGAGGAGGAGGGAGGAGGAGAGGAGGAGGAGGAGGAGGAGGAGGAGGAGGAGGAGGAGGAGGAGGAGGAGGAGGAGGAGGACGAGGAGCAAGTCCCTAGTTCGTTGTGTTTTTGGCCCGTCGTTGATTACTGTGGGACTTCGGGCTTTGTGTTTTTTTTCTGGTTTCTCACACCGTAGAGCGTCTGACGGAAAAAGATGTGGAGCCCCCCTGCCCTTTCAAGTGGGGTGGTTAGGAAGGAGATGTCTCACGCGCCAGTCGTCCCAATGGGTTAGTGAAGCAATAACATGGAGGCGGCAGTAGAAGGACAATGGCTTGGAGGAGCAGCAGCAACAGGATGAGGAGAGAGGTGTTTATGATGGTGGTGGTGATAATACTGTTGCTGTCGCTGATGCTGATGCTGATCATGATTATCATGGCGAGGCTGATGCTGATGCTGATGCTGATGATGCTGCTGCTGCTGATGATGATGGTGATGATGATGCTGATGATGCTGATGATGCTGCTGCTGCTGCTGCTGATGATGATGATGATGATGATGATGATGCTGATGATGATGATGATGATGATGATGATGATGATGATGATGATGATGATGATGATGATGATGTACGTATGCATCAGTTGCCGACCGCGTGCCGCCGACAGGAGCGGCTAAGCGGCCGAGCAGACATCAGACTAAATCAGTCTAGAACAACGGACTCGCCTCCAGACCCAGACAGGCGTACCGTCTGGCCAAGTGTCGTAGTTAGGCTCCAGCATCAGATCATCTTCAAGGTGGCGCAGGTAACTTAAACCTGCTTTGGTCGGCGGCCGGCATACCTTCTGAAGATCCTTGCACGAGCTCTTGCGCTCTGCTGAAAACGTCGCCGAGCATCCACTACGACGACACTACAGCAAACTGCGAGTCAGCATGAGATGGTGAGTCTCGTGGACCCCCGAGTTGCCAACGATAATTGCTGAAACAAGTGTCTCCGCACTCTCTGGTCGCTTCCTCTTCTGGGTACTCGAACTGAGCCTTGTCAGGTCGACAGTGGTGCGAATCAGCTTCACACGCTTGCTGTCCGGGCCCGCCATAACACTTGACGATGGCGCCAACGTGCTGGAAGAATGCTGCCCAACATCTTCCCTGTAGGCGTCGTCGTCGTGCTCTCGTAGGCGTCGTCGTGGTAGTTCGGCTTACGTCTGCAGGCCGAAACTCGTGACATTTTCGTTGCGTGCTGCCGCTGCGGAGGTCATCTCAGTTTCCTGTGCAGGCTGGCGTTTGGCCTCATCGTCGCGCTGCAAGCACCGGCGGCTGCAAGGTGTCTGGAGCCAAGACCAGACATTAGCAAACTGCACGGATTCCATATCTGATCTGCACGAGCATCCAAGAATACCTTTCACCACAACGTGGGACGGTTGATCAATCACCTGTGTCCTCCTTTCCTGCTGGGTGAGCAGCTTCTGGCGCACAGGAGGCGCAGCGTTTGGGCGCTGCTTGGAGTAGCACTGTTTGTGCACCGCCAGGAAGCGTTGAGAATCTGTTTTTGGCGGTCACATGCCAAACCGTATGCGGCACGGTCCGGGCACCGGGCGCGCCAACTCCGCCTCGCTGTCGGCTAAGCGGTCCGCAAGAGTATTCCCAACCCAATCGCGAATCTCGACATCATCCATGATGTCCACCGCCTCAACTTCACCATGAAGCGGACGTACCTTACGGACTTCTGCAGTTTCTGTGCGTCTTCGCATCGCCACACCGATGGAATGCCATAGGTCAGCATTGCTTGCGCCGTATGGGTGGTGAGGCGTGCCAGACTCAACACCGTCCACTAAATTCTTGTGGTCAGTATGGTACACGCCGGGCCCCGATGTGCGTCGAAGGAACACGAGGTAGGGGTTCAGCTCCGACTGCGGCACGGTTTGAGGGCCAGCCATGGCCTGAGTCCAGCCACCCTGAAACTGCTACTGGCCATCCACCTGTGCAATGGCGATGAGTGACCATGCCGTGGCGCCAGAGGGTCACCGAGTTGCTGTCAGGACCACCCTAGCCGTCGCCGTACCAATACCACAGGGGTGGAGAGATCGATGATGCCGTCCACGCCAAATTGTGCGAAGCACCCCCACACATGGAGGTCTGGATAGTCAGCGGCCGGCGGCACAGCCTTTCACGCTTTCGGTGCGAGCCCGTGCAGCCAATAACACGCATGGGTTTCATGCTGGACCCTAGCTTGGTTCATCCATGGCTGCGTGGCTGCAACGTCCTCGTGCCCCGTATTTATGAGGTCGCACTCCCAACTGCGATGAAACTCAGATTGCAGCGCGCCGCATTCACATCGCAAATCTGTGAAATACCCGGCATCGCGACACCGTTGACCGCACCAGGCGCCAGCGGCAACCACTATCATAAGCACTCCAGGTTCCACTGCTTGTCCTCGGCGTTCGTACTGGCGAGGCATGCGGTGAGGGACCTCCACTGAGGCACCGTCGCACAAACCCTCATGCAGATAGTGCTTACTTGCTCGTTGCCATAATGGCCTCCACACTGCTGCTGTGAACTCATCTCGAAACTCTTGCATGTCGACTGGTCGGGGGTAACCGCGCACACATTGCCATCGCTATCATACCATCGATTGGCGGCCACCGCATCCCAAGAGATTTCAAAGAGCGTTGCGATGACCGTCTCCATTGGGCTGGCGACGTGGCGCCAGCGGGCCGTGGGCGGTATGCCTGCAAGACGGTCGCGTACTGCAAGCCGTGCGTTTCTGGGTGATTTCTATCGTGCGTTTCTGGGTGATTCCTCCATAAGTCGAGCCAGTCCTGCACAGAACCTTTACGTAGAGACACTGCCAGGTCCTCATCTGGGCCAACAGCAGCAAGGGTGGTGGTGGTGGTTGTGGTGCAACCTCCAGACCGTGCATACCCAGACGTGTGCACCGCGTCGGACCGTAGGCGGGAGAGTTCGGTCGGCGACACGCCCATACTTCCGCATCCCCAGTGCTGCTGCGAATGTACCGACACTTGTGCTAAGCGCCGTCCAATGCGCGCCTTGACGCCCGCCGCCCTAAGTATGTTCTTGATGACGCCAAGCTTGATGCCTGCTTTCTTGGCCCGCGCGTGGCGTGTCTTCACCACCTGCCAGATGCCCGCCGCAGGGTCCGATC